CCTCCTCTGGCCCGCCCTGCCCGCCACACCCAGCTGTCCCTGCCAACCCAGCAGGGCCCGGGCAGCACCGCCCCTTCCCCGGAGGGCCCGGCGGCTCACCTGGCCAGCCACAGCCCCGGCCGCTGTGGGCGCCGTCAGTAGGGGTGCCCCGGGTCCTTGGGCCGCTTCAGCTGCACTTTCAGCCTCTTGGCGCCCACCTGGAAGCCGTTCATGGCCTGGATGGCCGCCCGTGCGCTGGCCGGGTTGTCAAAGCTCACGAAGCCTGCGGAGACCGGGCGGACGGCCATGGTGGGCACCGGGTCCTCTGTGCCGTGGAGCTGTGGCCCGGGCTTCCCGGTCCGCGGGGTCCTGGGGGGCGGGCGGGCTTGCCAGAGCAGGCAGCGGCCCTGGCTCTGTTCAGAGGCCTCTGGGCTTGCACCCCCCTGGAGACAGGGCACTCACCCTTCTCCGGGTCCACTCTGCTGAGACCTGCCATCCAGCAGGGGCCAGGGTGCAGTCTGGGGGGCTCTGGAGGCCACGTTCTCCCTCCCTCCCCTGAAGCCCTGCCTCTGCCTCTCCCAGGCCTGGGTGTTGAAAATCCGCACCCAGAGGCCTCAGTCCTTCGGCTCCCACCCGGCCGTCCGTGTGGGTGTCCCACTTATTTCTGGCTGGCTGTTACTTCCGGCTTTGGGTCTCTTCCTCTATCGCTCGCTCTCTAACTTCTCCCTGCTGTCTCTCTTTCTCTGTCTGTCAATCTCTGCTCCAGGCTATTTCCCGAAGCCATAAGAAGCACCCAAGTGCGGGACCGGCAGCTGGCGACATGGCTACATTGCTGGACTCCATGCAGTTGACTGTGGTTCGCGTCCTGGACCCGGTGGCTTAAACTCACGCCGGGCGCGTGTGCGTGTGTGCCCAAGATCCCGAGAGGAGAATGGAGGAGAAGGGATTGCGGCGTGGCCATCCCCCCTGGAGGGTGATTTCTCGCTTTCTGTCTCTCTGTCTGTCTTTCTGGCAAGCGCACACCCTATAGCAAAAACCGCTCCCCCCCCCCAGAAAAAAAGTGCCCTTCCGGAAAAGCATCCCTTAAGCTTCCATCCGCCTGCTCCTGCAGGGCACCCGGCCTGTCTCCTGGGAGAACCATGCAGAGGCTGTGGGTGGTGGGGACCTGCCAGGGCCTGGGGCTCTGGCAGGGAGCCCTGTGGGAGGCGGGCAGGGGACTGGGAGGGAGGTGAGTAGTTCTGCCCCCCCCCCAGGTCCAGGGGCGCCCCAGGCAGGCTAGAGCTAGGGGCAGGGGTGACCTTTATCCTGGTATCTGTCTACCCCCATCACCCAGATGAGGAAACCGAGGATCGCGCTATTGAAGTGGGTCCGGCGGCCTCCCCTCCCGGATTCCCTCCTTCCCCAGTCAGGGTACAGAGGGGCCTGCACCCTCCTCTGTCCCTCCTCACACACAGTGACCTCAAGGACACTGCGTGGGCATTCTGTTCCTTTCTTCCCTCTTTTTTTTGAGAAATTTTTGCTATAGGGCACGTGCACTCACAGGAGAGGCAGAGTGAAAAATCACACCCCCCAGCCCCCCCAGCCCCCGGTGGTGGCCATGCTGCAACCCCTTCTCCTCCATCCTCCTCTCGGGATCTTGGGCACGCACGCACACGCGCCCGACATGAGTTTCCAGCCTCCGGGTCCAGGACTTGAACTGCGGCCTACCACGTGGGAGTCCAGCACCTTCGCCGCTACCTGCTGGCCCCCTCCACAGCGCTCCCGCCTGCCTGCCTGACAGCGCGTTTTCCCTGGCTTTCCAGTCCACAGGCCTGGACCACGCAGGCTCACCTACCTGAAGCCCCTGCACTTTAACTACAGATCTGAAAGGCAGTGCTCCAGAGGCAAGGGGCAGTGGCCGCACCGCGCAGGCGGGGACGGGGGCATCCCGTGGCCGGGACGGCAGAACCTGGCGGAGCTCCTGGCCCAGCTAGAGTGCCCAGCCCCAGCACGACCGCGCACGCAGCAGGTGTGTGACTCTCTGGGCACCCCCCCCCCCCCGTGACGGAGTGGGGTGCAGGACGGGGCGCGGTGAGGCCGGGCCACTCACCGAAACACTTGCTCTGGTTGGTGGCTCGGTCCATAAACACCTTGGCGGAGATGATATTCCCGAAAGGCAGGAACATCTGCGTCAGCTCCGTGTCTCCAAACTCCTGGGGGAGGTGGTAGATAAACAGGTTACAGCCTTCGGGACCTGCAGGTGGGGGAGAGAAAGACATAAAGCCCCCAAGGAGAGGAGGCGACCCCGGGGCAGGGGCGCAGTCCGGAGCCCGCATCCCTCGTCGCCAGGAAGCAGGGGCGTGGCCGGGGCATGGCGGGGCCCGGGGGCGGGGCATGAGGTCAGGCAGTCCCAGCTCGGATACTCCAAACCCCAAACCCACCGTGATCATTTTCAAGGCTCAGATAACAGCGGAAACTCGGGAGACCCCCACCCCCACCGCCACCCAGACAGGTCCTCAGACCAGCCCCTGAAGGTTGCAACACCGTCAGCAAGCCGAACCCTGGGCAAATCATCGTGAATGTCCGTGTGCAGACCGTTTAGGAAGCCCAGAACTGGGTCTGAGGAACTGGGAGAGCTGGCAGTACGTCTGCAATAACTGCACTTCTAAAGCACAGCTGTCATTTTAGGGGCTCCAGGTGGCGTGGTGGGAAGGGCGCTGGACTCCCACATGGTCCCGAACAAGGTTCGAGTCCCAGGCGTGGTGGCTTGCTTCCTGACTTTCTCTCTCTGTGGCTCTCTCTGGTGAGCGCACGTGCCCTATAGCAAATTAAAAATAATAATAATATATAACATTTAAAAGATAAAATTTTAAAACTGTCACTTTAAAAATTCTGGTGATCAGGGGACCAGCAGTGGGCTATGTCGCTGGACTCCCACGTAGTCGACCGCAGTTTGAGTCCCGAACCCGGTGGCTTAAACTCAAGCCAGGCGCGTGTGCGTGCGTGCCCAAGATCCCGAGAGGAGAATGGAGGAGAAGGGATTGCGGCATGGCCATCCCCTGGGGGGTGATTTCTCGCTTTCTGTCTCTCTGTCTCTCTCTGTCTTTCTGGTGAGCGCATGTGCCCTATAGCAAAAATTTCTCTCTCAAAAAAAACCCAAAACCCTACAAATAAAGGGGCTGACAGGGGACAGGTGTTATGGTGGTTAAGGGTGCTGGACTCCCACATGGCAGGCATGGTTTGAGTCTAGGACTTGGGGGCTTGCTTTTTCACGTTCTCTTTCTCTGGACAAATTTAAAAATAATAATAATAAATAGCTTTTTTATTTTAAAAGACATTTATTTGTTATGGTTTTCAAGCCACCAGGTCCAGGACTTGAACCACGGGCGCCTCTGTGGCAACC